GGAAATACCGGTGTCCCCCTCCCGCCCACCCCGCTGGGTGATGCTGCTGCTGAAACACTTTGCGTTTCTAACTGCTCATGCAAAGTGAGCGTGGTCTGATACTTACTCTTAGGCGAAATGAATCGGGAGCATAAAGACGTCAGGGATGAATTGGGACCCTTCTCTATGTAAGGTGTCTTTACTCTTTCTTTTTACAAGTTTTTTTTTATAGGCAAAAGCCTCAGGCTTTTATTTCAAGAAACATGTTTGAAATGCATTTTGCTGTAGAGCAGGTAATATTAACATAGAGACCTTCCTACGTCACTGTTAGAATTTATGGCTAGAGAGGACACTTTAGCACAACAGCAAACCTTCATAACAGGTTGCATTCACAAGTAAAGTTCTACCCTGTTTTAAAGGGAGACTGAATTTTTCATGTTTTAGTCAGGACTGAGGATCATCATCATCGTCACAGTTGCCATTTTTTCGCCCAAGATCTACAATGACAGGTACTCTCATATTTTTTACTGTCCAGGTTAGAGAAATCAAGGAGATGAAGTGTCAGGTGACTCGCTCAAGGTCATACAGCAAAGCTGTGAATATAGATAATTCCCATGTGGCCTGTTAAAAGTGTATTACCAGAAATTCTATCATGCTTTTTCTAACCCCACGCTTTGCCAAATGTTTATGTATGAGCTGAGGCAGCTTAAACAAGGAGCATTAGAGAACTTCTGGGTACGGATTTGTTTAGCAGAATGGGCAAGGTACGAGAGCTTAGAGGTTTTTAAGCAACTGCAGCTGAGTAATTGAAACCTTTCTGGAACTGGAGGGCTTGAGGAAAGATCAGCTATCTGCAGGCACTATTACTGAGTGCTCATGGCTTTTAAATACATTCTACAAAAACTAATTCATTGGAGTTGAGGCAAATACAGTAAATATAAACAATTGCAGCTGAAAGAGAAAGAAAGAATAAGGAACCTTGTGAGGCAGGTACTTCGGGTTGTTAAGTACCCTTTTGCAATATTACAGTGCCAGTGTGAAATGAACGGGGAGAGCTAGAAAGCTGAAGGTAGGTTTTGCACGAACAGTGCCAAATGTGTCAGTGGTGTTACTGCAATGTTTAAAGCAGGAACGTAGCATCAATTATCATCACTATTTAAAAAAGAAAAAAGGGGGAGGTTGAGGGAGAGCCTGGCTCCTTCCAGCTCCATCCTCGTGGTGTTCTTCCCCAGGCTCTGCATTGACGTCACAATGACACGGTGAAGCTGAAGACAGGAGCTGGGAACAGTTCTTTTGCTTCACTTTTGACAATCGAGTGAATTTGTCACCACTCCGTTCCTTCCAGCATGGCTAAGAGCGCAGAAGTGAAGCTGGCGATCTTTGGTCGAGCTGGCGTGGGCAAGTCAGGTATGTTTGCTGTCTGATTTTTATTTCTGCTTGTCATCAGGTAACTTTTTGCTCCCTCTGTGCAGACAAACTCTTTGTACAAAAAGACAGCTGTGAGCTTATTCTTGTCAGGGAGGATCAGGCCAGGAGTTCTCTCCTTCTTGCTTTCCACACTATTTTCTCCAGATTCTTCAGAATAAAAGTACTTTTATCGCTTTAAAAAACCCCAACAACAACAAAAAAACAAATTTCCCACCCCAACTCAATCCCTCTTCTCATGAAGTGAGTGGCAAGATTGCTCTTTTCTACTGGAACAGAATTAGTATTTAATTTGTTTCTTCAGAGCTTGTGCTAGATGAAGGTATTTACATTATGCTCCCTATCCCCTAAGATCAGATCCTCTGTTAACTATTGGATGACTTCTGTAATAGCTGTAATTCTGGTTGATTTCAGTGGGAAATTTTAGACTCAGCAACTCAAAAAATTTTTATTCTTGGTGCTCTCTTGGATGTAGATATTTACCAGGAAAACAGGAAAATATGATGTGTGAAGTTTGCCTATGGAGAGATCTTTTGAGAAATAAACATAGTCTGGTGAGTTCATACGGTAGAAACACAAGGGGGAGGCATAAATGTTAAAAACCCATTTCTACAGTCAGCCTTTGCTTTAGTGAGACAAGGAGCATAACGCGAGGGTTGCAAGCTCTCTCGGGTAGTTTGGTGGTCTTGCATTAACTTGACAGCGCCAGGACCACTCTTAACGTGTCCTTGCATCACAGGGATGAGGAAATAAGGAGACTGAGTCTGATCATGCTTCTGTGCTAGTTTGGGAATTGTGAGATACTGTTTATTTTAGAGAAATCTGCACAAGAGAAGCCAGGAGGTAGGATGTACCTGTAAGAGCATTAGGCGAGACTCTCAGCTGCTGTCAACCAGCTCCGGTTCCCCAAAGTAACTTTTATATTAGAAGTGCCAAGGTTTTGGCCTATAAACTGCTATTATAGTTTCATTAACTTTGAAACGGGTTGTTTATAAAAGCATGTTTACCCAGAAGGTATTTTACCAGAATGCTATCAGTGAAGTACCTCTGTCAGCCTTCAGGAAAAAAGGCGTATGTGAGGCAGAGGTTGTTAGAGATTATACCGCTTATACAAAGACAATGCAGATTAAATTCTACCTTTTTGAATAAAATACCTGAGGGAATGCTGATAATACACTGGGATAAGTTTAAACTGTTCCTTTTCTCCTGCTGTGCTCATCCCCACCCCTCTTTTGTATTTCGCTGTCCCCTCCCAAGTTTTGCACGTAACTTCAGTGGTTCTCCTTTTGGTTGTTTTACGTTCGGTTGAGGGTTTCTGTGGTTGTCCAGTCTTTTGGCTGGATTAAAAATAACGCAAGAGGATGTTGAAGTATTTGCAGGAGAACTGTAACACTAGAAGACTCCCCTCGCCCTGATATTCTCAGCCATTTGAGAGCTTATATTTAAAAAATAGAAAAACTACCAGTTGAGTGGCTCAGTTAAAATGCCTCACCAGTATAGGATCAACAAGTGCCTTTTTAACCTGTTGTATCCTTTTTGTAGACTTCACTATACTAGGATTTTATGGTAAAAATGTTTTCCTGTAGTCCTGGAACTGTGTGGGAGATGATTTTTAATGAAAAGCCAATAAAACCATCTTAGTCTTTCAGAGTCTTCCTCCTCCTCTCTCTCTTTTCTTTTTTTCCCTTTGAGATGCAAGGAAATATTACATAAAATATGGCTAAGGTCCCCTCTTTTTGATTGTGACCACGCATGTGAATCTGTGTGGAAATGAAGGAGCAAATAAGTGGGCAGCAAAACAGGGTGAATTTAAGTGGGTGGAGAGCCTGCAGAGTGCTATCAGCCGCCTCGACAGAGCAGCAACTGTGCCTCCCAGAACCTCCAGCTTGCTTATGAAAACCCCTCTTGTACGTTCCCATAAAAGGATCCAGTTTCAACAGCTCGGCCAACTCCAGAGAAATAAGTGTGTGGGTGTCTGAAAATACCTATTTGCCTGTAGCCAGCAGTAGGAGCTGTGGAAGTGCTGTTACACCTTTGCTAAAAGCAGAGCTGGGCACAAAGTAGTCTTCAGATAGCTAGGTTTGGCGGATAAGTACCCTGCTAAATTAATGTTGATAGTGTCTTTTTTTAGTAATGTAATTCCCTATTCCTGTGACCAGCTTGTAATACGTTGTTGAGACAGGATCCTGTGGCCATGCGTTGCTAGAGTAGGCTTGGCCAGACAGCTGAAAGATAAGCCAGACTCTAGAAGCAAGAATGCAAGGCGGAATGCTGGAGCACGCTAGATACGTGTGATGAAAAGGAGACGTTGGGTGATAAATAAGGCCACTGTAATTGCCAGAAAGTCATGCCAAAATATGGTCACTGGCTTGCTTTCTTGGATCATCTTCATTTGCTGAGGAAGAGCCAGGCATTAGGTTCTTAATCTGTAAGTGGCTTCACCACCTGACAGCGTCTGTGAAGTTACAGACACATACTGTAATATCCTGGAGAGGCTCTTCTTCCAGTTCCTGACCCGGACTTTGGATCAGTGAGTCAAAGCCGCTATGAAGAAAGAAGTGGTATGCTTCGGGATGTGTGGAGAATTAAAGCTGTCCCTCATGCACCATGAAAGTCAATAGAATTGTTACCATTACTGAGAGCTGAGGAACATCCTAATCTTGTTGTTAATGCTAGACATCTGTTTAATGGGGTGTAAGATTCCTTGTTCTACTAAGTAGTCTCCTCCAATTAATCCAAGACTCTCCCAAACATGAGGTGGGAAACCAGAACGCTGTTCACAAGTCAGAATAGTGATAGCATCTCAAAAGAAAGTTAAAGCCAGGGAAAACAAAACTTTTCCCCGCTTTCTTCCTGCTTATCAAGTTCCCATGGTTCAAAGGTTTAAAAAACAAACAAGGGGGAACAGCAAGTCTGAGTGTCAGCTTTTTACCGTTCTCCTTCCTTGCCTTGTCTCCTCCTGCCTGCTGGAGAAGGCCAGCAGAATTGCTAAGCAACCCACCTGTCCTGTTTTGTTTTTTACTTAGTGTAGACCTAAACCTTTCAAATAGAAAAGGAGGAGCAAACGAACTCGGAAGGAGTGCTCTAGTGAGGCACTTAGTTCAGAATTACACTGAGAGTAAATCACTGGTCAGCTCATCTGGGCAAGCTCAGCAGGTACGAGCACCTCAACCTGCTCTCGCACAGTGGACTGGATGCTCCTCTATTCACCCAGCTCTTATTGTATAGCAGTTGCATAAACATTGCTTTAAACTAGCTGAAAAGAACCAGATGAGGAGGTCTGCCTGAGCCGAGGAGCGCTTTGCTGCTTCTTCACTCGGGAAGAAGAGGAGACGCTCTGTGGGTGGGAAGGGACATTGCTAAGCCCTGCTATAGATAACAGGGCTGCACCTCCTAATTTGGGCTAGAGTCAAGCGGCACTGAGGGGGAGAGCAAGCTTTTAAAGTCTTTTTCTTTATGTCCAAGAGGAGCTTGGAGGGAGCGGAGAATTAAAGTTGAAGTGAATTACTTAAACATTGCTGTTTAAATTGTTCTTCTGCTGAATCCTACAGCTTCATTCCTATGGTAACAAAAGTTAGGATTTCCTAAATAGCTCCTTTTAAAAATACAGTAGTAACAATTAATAAAGACTTAAAGGCCTTGTTCTTCCATGTCATCACAAGGTACAGTACGTGCCCAGAAAGATAAAGAGGAGTGAAAATGTATGAACCAGGAGGAGAAAAGAAGGGCATGTACTGGATAGCACTGCATGGCTGATGCTTTTCCAACTCATAATTCAGTTGACTATGAATGCTCAACCTCTGCCTTTATATTTTGGCCAAAAAAGAGAGAATGTCCAGCTGCGGCACGTGCTATCCAACTTGCCTTTTTGCTGTGTGTGTGCCAGGCTGAATACTCCAAGTTTCTACATTAGCGTGTATGGTGCGCCCAGCCACGGGCAGATGCAGTTCTCATCTGTCTGCATGGGCCATGCAGCTGCAGCCATGGAATGTGACACGGAAGTGTGTGTGGTTTCTACTGGTGCGTAAGTGACGGGGAAGATACTAAAGCTCCCACAGGCTCCCCCCAGTAAATATGTGTCTGCCAGCTATGCAAATCATTTTCTTAGGTGATCAGGTACATGAAACACGGGGCTGTTGTCACCATTTGATCCAGCAACAGCTCAGATGCTTGTGTTTGGGCACGAGGGTGATCGATAAAGTGGCATCAGTAAATATCATCCTGCAAAGAGCCTGTCCCATCTCAGAAATGAAGATCTCGCCAACTTCAGTCATTTTAGGGTCACAGTTGGGAAAGCCCTGAGTAGATATAGATTTGTATCTGTTCGCTTACGCTATTTTCCCCATCTAAGCCAGGATGGGGGAACATACTTGGGAGAAAGATACCTGGATTTGAAAGTTCCTACAGAACAAATTCAAGCAGCAGCCAAACCAGAGAGGCCTACAACAAATCTGTGTTTTGTTTTCATTATTTGGGGATACATCTGAAATACGCTACCAGGGCTCATGTCCCAGTTGAAAGGTCTGGGCATGTGGGGAATAGAACTGAATTCAGGAGCACCGCTGCCGCCCCTCCGCCCCCCCTTCAAAAAAACGTACAGGCTACTGAGAAAGAAGCCCATTTCAAAGTCATTTTCTACTTCACAAATCCCTGCTCATATGTTTTCCCCCACTAGTTTCATTTCAGGGACTTTTGGGGAGAAAACATGAGTTATTAAGGAGTGATTAGTCATCAAGCTCACAGGTCTGCTAGTAAGGCAGGGAAAGCTGCCACAAGAGCTCCAAAGTCCATGCTATACCAACTGATGTATCTAGGGAGGATTACTGCAATAAGGTGCCCCTGAAATCCAGAAATGTGGGTGGAAGGAGACTCTGTAGATTTTCTGTTGGGTTTTGTTTTTTGGTTTTTTTTCCTACACTGGTGGAGTAAATCGGTTGTTTTATTTCTTTGTTTTTAAAAATGGCAATGACAACCAGATGCTT